AACATCTTTCAGCTCAGAGAGACAAAACCAAATTTGTCCCAAACCTGAAGTTCCAGTCCCTCAACAGAGTCCCATTACAGAGCAGACTGCTGTGGGATGTCTTTTTGTATGCTGTGAATATGTGTGGCTCCCATTGGATAATAAATAAAGCTGTTTGGGCCTATGGCAAGAAAGCTTACAGCCAGGTGGGAAATCCAAACAGAGATACAGAGAGAAGAAGTTGAGAGAGACACCAGCCACCACCAAATGTAGCCAGAAATGCCTCTGTCCTGCTTAGCCCTATGGTCCAGATGAATCTCTCCCACCCAAGCTCTCGTAGCCTCTTATAAAATAATTACTAAGAGGCTTATATTAATTACAAACTGTATGACCTAATGTCTCAGGCTTCTTGCTAGCTAGCTCTTACAACTTAACTCAGCCCATTTCTATTAATCTATATGTTGCCACGTGGCCATGGCTTTACAGGTCTGCTGGCATCTTGTTGCTTTTTTGGCGGCTGGCGTCTCTTCCGACTCCACCCTTCTTCTCTCTTTTATCTCTGCTTGGATTTCCCACCTGCCTGTAAGATTTCTTGCCATAGGCCCAAACAGCTTTATTTATTATCCAATGGGAGCCACACATATTCACAGCATACAGAAAGACATCCCACTACAGCAAACATAGGCCAGAATCTGTAGCGAACATTCGGGCAAGACCCTCTGGATCACCTCCTTTCTGGAATCTGTTTGTGCGCCAAAGATGGAAAAGATGAGAAAGGGACTATCCCCATCACAAAGGACCGTGACCAGCCAAAGGGACCCAAACTCTCAAGGCATCTTGGATTCTCTGCCAAGCCCAGGCTCTGGGGGATAATTGGGTACTTGCTTTTCCAGGACTCAGAACCCATGAACTGATAAAAATCAGGGTCTGGACAGCATCCACTGGGAGCCTTGGGTAGGTGTGTAGCCTAGAGGGGGAAATGGGTGTTTTGAGGAAGCTCAGCAGCACAGAGGGGATTCTGCCAGTTCTCATGGAGGGGTGGTGCCCAGAACAAAAACTACCTGGGAGAGTCCAAACTGAATGTAAGACGTTTGACACAACCCCATTGGGAATAGGGCTTAAAAACTATTCCTTTCCTGAGTGCCTGTCCCCATCCTCCCTGAGCCTGCACAGAGTAGGAACCAGACCTTCCTTTACAGCTGTGAACAACAACTGCCTTCTTTTTGGGTCAGACTCAAACCCTGGACTGTCAAGAAGGTGGAACCCAGGTACAAGGAGCTTCATCAAGGGATGTCCCGAGCTCCAAGAAGGGGATACAAATCGCTAAAGGGGTAGAAAGAGTTTGACATGAAGATTACTATTTGAACATTGGACTCAGCTAGGAGTCCATGTTGGACATACAAGAGCTTAAGAGAATCTAAATGTGATAGCAGGAGCCAAGAGTGCCACAAAATTGAAGACAAAACCATGGGAAGGATGGGCTGGTTCCTGGTGGGTGACAAAAATGATGTGAAGAGCTCAAATGTAGTCTAGTTTGGTGGTACCAATAGTCTGAGATTTGGAACATCCTTTGCCTTCCTACCCCAGAAACAAGAAACTGTGACCCTAGATGGGCTAAAGCGATATGAATGCCCACCCTCAGGGATCTCATGCAGAGATAAAAAGTGGCTGTGGTTTCTGAGCAAGGTAATTCTTTTCTGATTGTGTGTGTGTGTGTGTGTGTGTGTGTGTGTGTGTGTGTGTGTGTGTG